TTCTCGCGACGTGTTACCCCTATATCTGATAGAAAATTGACGAGTTTTGATGAAAGATTTCTGCTTAAAAGTTGGTGTGTTGAGGGTTAGGATGATGTTACCTGAGGGAGTTATATGGTTTGCGACATGTTTCCATTTTCTTCATCACGGTTGTACGGTTATGCTCATACACTGCCTTTTTTTCAACCACTCCCTAGTTTCTTTCGCCTCACGTCATAAACTCGGGCTACTTATGGGGGGGGGGGGTTAAAAAAACATGCGTTCAATTTGCTCTGCATTTTACTACATGGAGCATTTTCCTACCTTGGGCCTCGACAGCGGCTGAGTGCGCTGGAAACTGATACCGCTAGCTTTTAACGCGTACAATGTAAATGAATGATATTACGACAAGATATGCCCCCATGACACCCGTCCAAACACGACACAGCAAACAGAGGCAGCTTTATGCACAAGGTCACGTCTTGGCATGCTCGATGACCAGCAAGGCCTTACTTGTAGGGGGTTTAGGGCGGCACAAGGCTCATACCCTTGTCAACCACATCATGAAGCCAAACTGGACGACATAGCTGTAGACGAACAGAAACTGGGTCCTCCTGTTCTTCTGGCTCTTGGCAACCGTGTATCCCGTGGGGGCAGAGCTTCCAAAGTTTCCTTGGCCGGTCTGGTCTGGGAGAAGGACATATCGCAGGCTGCGGAGGAGGAAGAAGGCGTTTGCGCTGAAGCAGTAGAGGAAAATGACCCAGGTGACGAGTGTGCTGCCAAAGCCAAGCCAGGCAGCAAAGTGCGACAGGAGCAGGGACACAATGACGTGGACAAACTTGTAGCCGCTGTAGGCAACGAGGTCGAGGAGCTGCGAAGAGTTGTTGATGGCGAGCAGGAAGGTGCCGGTGCGTATGATGAGGATCTCGAGCAGGGTGACGGAAATGGCCAGGGTTGCGGTATAGCCCAGCAGCTCCGGGTGGAACGCGCCCCTCAGGCCTGCCAGCAGTGTCGAGAGCAGGATGTATGTCACCAGAGCCATGGTGGGGATGTACATGTCGGGCGAGTTGACGTCTTCGCGAGGCGGCTGGTAGAGCAGGGCGGCCGAGGCTGCAGGGTCGGTGCCATGGCGCTGCTGGCGGGACCACGGGCGGTGCCACCACGGCACGAGGATGATGCGCAGTTTGGTGAGGACATACGAGTTTGTCACGTTGAAGTAGTGCTTGAGGGCGGAAACGGATACGAAGCGGCCAAACTATGTCGCCGTCAGCGTCGACGGCGTGTACAGAGCGGAGCGTCACGGCATGTCACGTACATTCTGCTCGACGTATTGCTGGCCGGCATCCACGGCGCTCTTGCCCATCTGGAAGCCCAATTGGGCCGTGGGGTCGTTGATGAAGCCGCCAAACGAGGGGTGCATGCTGTAGGCCGGCTGCTGGGGCATGCCGCCGCCCTGCTGGCCGTATCCATATCCGCTCTGGGGCTGCGAGGGCGGCTGCGGGGGCGGCGGTGACCGCAGTTGGGGGACTGTCGAGACATGCTGGGGGATGGGGTGGTGGACTGCGCCGTGTCAGCTCGGAGCGCGTGGCGCCAGAGGGGCCGCCAATGCGGCGTGCACATACGGGGGGGCGAGTGCGCGGGCGGCGGGTTGCTGTAGTTGGGGCGCTGCATGGTTGCGCGAGGACGAGTGTTCTGCCTGGAGTCGCTGGGCTGGCTGGCGGGTTGGAGATGTGCGCGCGCGCACATGCACACACACACACGCAAACGCCCGACTTCCGACTTCCGACCATCTGGCAACAGGCGGCGCACGGCCGCTTCGTCATATGCCCCGTGCCCGCGCCCGCGCCCGCACCACGACGACGACGACACGCCCACAACCTCCCGCCATGCTGGATACCTTTGAGATCCTCACCACCTCGGGCGTCGTGCTCTGGTCGCGCACCTATGTCCCCGTCGCCGCCGGCGTCATCAACAGCCTGATCCGTGACGTCTTCATCGAGGAGCGCATCCCGCCACCGTCTGACGATGGCGGCTCCAAGCCAGTGTACAAAAAGGACGGCTACACCCTCAAGTGGTCCGCCGCAAAGGACGCCGGGCTCATTTTCGTCGTACGTCCCGCCCCACGCGCGCCCAGACACGTCGAGGCGACGACACGGCACATGGGCTGCACATGCGCTTCTGCTCACACCACCCGCAGGCCGTATACCAGAGCCTGGTCCACCTGACGTGGGTAGACAGGCTCCTCGACAATGTGCGCGCCCTCTTCGTCGGCCTCTACGGTGACAAACTCAGGGCGCACAAGGGCAGCCTCCTCAACTGCGACAAGTTCGGCTCCTACTTTGATCGCCAGATGCACGAGCTCGAGGGCGCAAGCGATTCGGGCGCCCCGAGCATCAAGCTCATCACTCCCGAGTCGAGCACCGATAATGACAGCGCCGACGATGCCGCCCCCAAGCCAGCAGCCATGCAGAAACCTCAGCGGCCCTTGTACGACACCAGCGCCGACTCCACCCCAGTGCCCACCCCGGATACATCGAGACCAACCACGCCAGCACAGAGCCAATTGCTGACCGGAAAGGCGAGGCCAGTCGGCGGCAAGATGTCACGCAGAGACAAGAAAAAGGCCTCGGCCTTTAGCTCTGCGCCCGTGTCCTCCGGGGACGAGGCATCGGCAAAGAAAAAGCCAAAGGGCTCCGCAAAGAAGGGCAGGGTGTGGGGCGAATTTGGCGCAGAAGAGGAAGACGACTCCATCCTCGACTACTCGCAATCAGACGTCCAGGCAGATGCATCCGGCAATGAAGCCATGGAGGAGATCAAGCAGGAGACATGGGGTCGCAAGACCAACAAGGGCGAGTTTGTGCTCAAGGACCTGGATGACGAGATGGATGCCATCATTGCAGCTCAGAATGCCAACAAGGAAAAGAATGCGCCTGCCGCATCTGCTGGGCTTGTTGGGTCAAGTTTGGGCGCAATCGGTGGGCTGTTTAGGAACGTCGTGGGCGGCAAGACACTGACCAAGGAGGACCTGGCCAAGCCTCTCAAGGGCATGGAAGAGCACCTTTTGCGCAAGAACGTTGCGCGCGAGGCTGCAGTACGGCTGTGCGACAGCGTGGAGCGTGATTTGGTGGGCATCAAGACACCCAGCTTCACTAGTCAGTCGCCTTTGCACCTTGATCTTGCTGAGACGCTTGTACTGACAGCATTGCCCCAGCCATCGAAACAACACTCAAGTCATCCATGGAAAAGGCCCTCACCAAGATACTCACGCCCACATCTTCCCTCGACCTGCTCCGCGAGATTCAGCATACAAACTCTACGACGACTCGCCCCTATGTACTCTCCATTGTGGGTGTCAACGGCGTTGGAAAGTCGACCAACCTCTCCAAGATTGCCTTTTTCCTGCTGCAAAACCATCACCGTGTCCTGATTGCGGCCGCTGACACTTTCCGATCGGGTGCCGTCGAGCAACTGCGGGTGCACGTCGATCGGTTAAAGGAGCTATCCCAAAGAGAAGGTGGGCACGTCGACCTGTTTGAGAAGGGCTATGGCAAGGATGCTGCAAACATTGCTGCTGATGCAGTCACGTTTGCCACAAAGAACAACTTCAACGTGGTGCTCATTGACACAGCAGGGCGCCGACACAACGATCAGCGACTCATGTCGTCGCTGGAAAAGTTTGGCAAACTGGCCAACCCTAACAAGATTCTCATGGTTGGAGAAGCACTAGTCGGCACAGACTCGGTCGCTCAGGCCCGAAACTTTAACGCATCGTTTGGCCCTGGAAGGAATCTTGATGGGTTTGTCATTTCCAAATGCGATACCGTGGGCGATATGGTGGGGACGCTGGTGTCCATGGTGCATGCCACAGGGATTCCCGTCGTCTTCTTGGGTACGGGGCAGCACTATAGCGACTTGAGGACGCTGAATGTCGGTGCAGTTACGAGGCTGCTAATGAGTTAGCCATTGGTCGGTCCGAGATAGGACTCGGCTGGGCTCGGTGGTGCATGTGCATACATGCTCCAAGGTCCGGTAAAACGGAACAAGGAGAACATTAACGTCTCCCCTACCAAAACTCAGTGCCCGTTCAATGACACAACAATAGCATATATAATCTCTACTATGTATTAAAAAACCCTTCAACGAAAGTTCAGAGTGTTACATGACATGCAAGGTATTTCTTTGTTGCTTCAAGGGTGCAGAAAGGAAGAGCATGAGGCTTTATCTTTGGTCGACGTTTTCCTATACCAAGTAGTAAGGTGCCTAGCTCTATGTCTGGTTCTACTAGTCTCCTCAGAGACACATACTTCTTTACGTCACACGTTTATTCTGAACACTAGTACCCTTAGCTGACTTTGTACAAAATTAGCTACTATGAGATGTTTCTATGAACAAGCTTGCACCTATTAAGAAGTTGGTAGTGCTGTTATAAATAAGAAGAAGCTCTTTTTAGGGAAAGGCCTAAGGATAAAGGACATGCCAAAGGATAATAAAAGGGTAAGAGGGTGACGTATTCTGCCAGGCCAGGTAGCAGTGGCTGTATTAGTATAGTGTGAGCCACATAGTCTCGGGAGATAACGTGCAGGGTCAGTAAGCTGGGCAGATCAGTAAGCTGGGCACCCCACCAAACTTGACGCGACGCTCTACACAACCACCACCATGCCGCGACAACAACGTTCTATACATACTTCTCGTGAAGGCAGAATAAGCCTTGCTATCGCGTCTTATCGTAATAATCCAAAACAATCTATCTGTGCTCTTGCAAAAGCATATGATGTGCCACAATCAACACTACATACTCGCGTTCATAGTACTTAGCCACGACTAGACAACACACACCAACTTTTAAGCAGAAATCTTTCATCAAAACTCGTCAATTTTCTATCAGATATAGGGGTAACACGTCGCGAGAAACCGATTTACGCCACCTCTAATGTGTGCAGCCCTCTCGTTAAGGTGCTAGAGGGGGTATTGTCGGTATTCTTGCGACGTGTTCGAAATGCGAAAATCTTCAAGAACGCACAGACCGCCCCGATAACTAATAGGGAGACTACCAAACGAAACTAAAAACAATTAAAAACACCAAATAAAACAACAAAAATCAAAAATCCTATATC